GTCAGGCGGACGACTCCGAGGCTGGGCGAGCCTCAGGACAGGCCGGCCCGGAGCTGTCCGAGGTGCTGGACGGGGCGATGGGAATCAGCAATTGCCCGGACGCAGCAAGGGGCCCTGCAAGCCGCGTAGGGCTCCGAGCCGCAGGCAGGGCTTTGGAAAGCGAGCGAGGGGCATCTACCTTACGACTCTATAAGACTTTTCTGGTCTATGGTGGGCGAGGTCCGGGTGGTTGGAGTGGCCCAAGGGAAGGATGGTGGACACTGGCTCTAACTGGGGGGAGAACCTTACCTTCCACTGTTAAGGCAAGTTCACTGCAACCAGCTGAAGGAACTGCGTGCTTAGAAAACCACCAGAGAGGGCAGGAGAGGGGCCCTGGGCATGATCACTACCTTCAAATCCTGAGGGCCCTTGCCATGGACGAGCGCAGCCAGGCTATGTGACAGGCCCAGAGGGCAGAGCCAGGAATAACTAAAGGTGACCGGGCAGATTGTGGACCAAGCCAGAGCTGTCCCACAGTTTGAGCTGCCTGGGCAGGTGGTGTCTGAGTAGAAGCAGATGACTGCTTGTGCAGTAGCACCTGCTTTGAGGGTCAGATGAGGCCAGAAGTTCCCAAACCTGCACTGTCAGCATCACTGGGGTGTTGGAATGAAATCTAGATTCCCCGGCTCCACTGCAGGCCTATGGAGTCTGTCTCCCCTGGGTGGGGCCTGGAAGCTCACTGGGTGATAGAATTGGGTGGTCCCTTAGTGGGTTCTCATGTCCCATGAAACAAGGTCCTAGAAAATGCAAAACAAGAGGCCAGTGCTTCACAGGACTGGCTGAGCTCAGCAGGAGTCCTCCAAACCAAGGTAGGGGACTCACAGGCCTTCCAAGAAGGGCTTCACGAAAAACCCTGCAGGGAAGCCTTCCCTTGGACTCTTTCTTAAATCCTCACCCAAGGATATTTTTTCTATTGATTTTTAGAGAGTGGGAGAGAGAGGAACACATCAGTTGGTTGCCTCCTGCATGCACCGACTGGGCCCAGGGATCAAACCTGCAACCCAGGTACATGCCCTTGACTGGGACTCAAATCCGAGACCCTTCAGTGTGTGGGCCAACACTCTAATCACTGAGCCACACCAGCCAGGGCTCCCTTGGACTTCTTGGTCAGGCTTGAGGCAGTTCCTAACCTCTCTCCCAACCAAGTCATACTGGACTCAGCTTGTGGGTAAGGCACACAGCCCTTTCAGGATCTCATTCTTGAGCACCAGAGGGACTTCTGCGCTCTGCACACAGACTATGCTGAGATTTCTGTGATCTGTTAGCCAGCAATGTCTGCATATGAGGCTTCAGAAGTTATGCAGACCATGGACCAAGTCGCCAAAGAGCATGTCCCCTTTCTAGGCCACAGCCCCAAGAAAGTTCTCTGGCCTGCTGAGCCTCCTCTCCCTCTAACTTTGGGGTGAATCCCCTGCTGTCTCTTTGTTGTGAGCATGGGCTGCTAGGTCCAGTTGCAGTGTGGGCGTTGAGCCCAGCCCTGGCGCTGAGGCTGCAGGTGACCTCCTGGAGCACAGACTGACTCCACCACTGCCGGCCGTGAAGCCCAGGGGGCACTGCCACACTGTACTGGAGAGGGAGGAGTGGGGAGAAGGCAGGCAGTGATGTTTGCCTGTCTTCCAGGCCAGAGGGCCTGAATTCCAGGACACCACTGCTACCCTACATCAGCAAGTACGACTCCAGGAGGCACTTTGATCCCTGAAGCTGATGTCCAGAGAGAGCCTGGCCTCCAGCCCTCCCCTAGAGAGGCTCTCACCCAGTGAGGGTGCAGGGTAGGGAAGTCCAAAGCACTTGACGGCCCCAGGAGTGTGGCCTGGAGACGGGAGGCGGTTCAACCACAGGGCCCCATGGACCAGGTCCCAGTAGGCAAAAAATAGGGTGCCACCCTATCCAGGAGGGAGCAGCCAGGACAGGGAGTGGGCACATGCTGTTGACACTGAGGACGATTCCCACCCAGCTGAGCTCTTCCCACAACTGGAAGTCTGATCTATACAAGGCAGACACAGTAGATTTGAAGACCACTTACACCTGTTAAGAGAGAACACCCTGGGCCCCCACTTTCCTGGGACAGTGCTGAGGCAAGAAGGCAAATAGAGCAGATCTGGGGCTTGCTGCTCAGAGAATGAGCTTCACACACTCTCCTAGATATCTGAGGGGACAGCTTCAGCCAGCCTGTTCTCCCAGCCTCCCTTGGAGTCTCTGCATCTGGAAACACCCATCTTGAGGTGCCTGACAACACACTGGGTATGGCTCCAGGTAAGTCATGACACCTCCAGGCCTCAGTCCCTGGTGAGCTCAGACCTCCAAGGCTCCAGGAGACTGTTAGGGCCCCATGTCACTCTTCCCCCAGAGACAGGATCTCTGGGACAGGAAGCAGCCCTATGGCCTCACCCATGCAGGGGTGGCTCTGGTTTCCATCAATTAAAAATTTATTTGGGACACTAGGTGTGCAGTGCCAACTGGGAAGGGTGCGAAGGCTGGAGCGTCCGGCACTCTGCAGCCTCCCCCTAGAGGCCCGTCTGTGGCCACTACTCCCGGTAGTGGACACGCTGGTGCTGGATAAGCTGTGAGCTCTGGCCAAAGGCCTTTCCACAGGCACCACAGGCAAAGGGTTTCTCGCCCGTGTGGGTCCGCAGGTGCCGGAAGAAGTGGGAGCGGCCACGGAAGGCCTTGCCGCAGTCGCCGCACTCGTAGGGCTTCTCACCGGTGTGGATACGCTGGTGCTCTATGAGCACGGAGCTCCAGATGAAGGCCTTGCCGCACTGGCTGCAGGCGTATGGCTTCTCGCCCGTGTGCAGCCGCTGGTGCCGCACCAGGTTGGAGCTCTGGCTGAAGGCCTGGCCACACTCACCACACTTGTAGGGCTTCTCGCCATTGTGGATGCGCAGGTGCTGCGTGAAGTGCGAGCTGTGGCTGAAGGCTCGGCCGCACTGGCCGCACTCATAGGGCTTCTCGCCCGTGTGGAGGCGGTGGTGCTGGATGAAACCCGACCAGCCACGGAAACGCTTGTCGCACTCATGGCAGGCATAGGGTTTCTCGCCTGTGTGAATGCGCTGGTGCTTCAGCAGAAGTGAGTTGTACTTGAAGCTCTTGCCACAGGCCTCACACCGATGAGGCTTCCCACTCCGCAGGCCTGAGCCCCGGCCAAAGTTGTCCCCTAGCTCTCGGCCACCCTCGGTCCCAGAGGCTCCCTGTGGCATGTGCCAGGTGCCCTTCTTCTGTGGGCATGACATGGCCTCTGGTAGCGGGCCTGCAGGCTGCTCCAAGCTGGGCTCCTGTGCAAAGCTGCCTGCACACGTGGGTCTATGCGGAAGACCCCTCAGCAGGGCCCTTCGCGCCCCACCACCCTGGTCCACCTCGTCTGCAGGGTCCTGCAGGTGGGGAGATGACAGAGCCTGCTCGGGCTCTGACTGGGAATCTGAAATGACAAGTGGGAGAGGTGGATAGCACCCAGCCACCCACCCACCAGTCCATCTGCCCCTGGGGCCCTACTATGCCACCCTAGGTGACCAGACCTGCAGGGGGCGCCATGGTGCTGGGGACCAGGCTGAGAGCTGACCCGGCAAAGGCCTGATAGGAGTCAGACTCAGGGAAGTACAGAGCCCCCTGCTCTAAAGGGTGGGGCCCAGACCCCCACAAGAGAAGGCTGTGCCCCTCTCCACAGTAGTGCCTCTCCCGAGGCTGTGCAGGCCCACACCACTCCACAGCTCCTCCAGGAGCTGGCCAAGGTCAGGTGGCAACTGCCTCTGGGCCCAGCTTCCCCATTTTCCTTCCCAGGAACCCAACCTGACACCTACAGGATCTGGGGGCGGGGGGGGGGCGGGAGCTGTGCCCAGCCAACACCACCAGGGCTTCTCATGGGCAGAGAGGTGGGGGTGAAGGCTGAGGGCACTGCACAGCAGGAGGAGAGGGGCCCAGGGACTCCCTAGTTGCTGGCCTAGGGGGCAGTAGGGCTGAGTCAGGGATCCCAGTCCAACAGGCAGGTGGCTGTGGTGGTCTGGGGCTCAGGGATGGCTCTGGCTGCACTCAGCCTCGGAAGTGTCAGTGAAGAGTGCAACTGAGTGGGGGAGGGGCCTGGGGGGCAGAAGTGAGCTCTGAACCAGGGGCAGTGGGGCCCGGGGTCCTAGCAGTGGTGGTGCCTGAAATGGTGAGGCTGCACAGAGCTTGGTATGCAGCAGCCACAAGTAAATGTGCTTCTGGGCTGGACCCCAGGGAAGCTTCTGTTCACTCACCTGGCCAGTAGGTGTCCCTGCCCATCTGGACCTCCTCCACGCCCTGCACATCCAGGTCCAACAGCTCCTCCTCCCGTGGTAGCTGGGAGAACACCCCAGGGCTGCAGCCAGGGGAGCCTGGGGGTACAGGGGGGCTGGGGCTCATCACCCCTCCTCTCAAATCCAGGGCTCTCACAGCAGCCTGCAGGATGCCCCTGCTCCTAGGTCATGATCCCCAACACCCAACACATCCTCCCCCCAGAGCACCCCCTCCAGGGCCTGCCCAGTGCCAGGTAGAAGGACCTGCCTGGGGGCCCAACATCTCTCTTCTTTGGGGTCCACCCTGGTTGCTTTTCTTGCAGGCATGGTCCCCCCACTTCTGTTTCTGGTATAGCACAGGGAGGGCTAAAGCTGCAGACTGCAGCCCACACTGCCTCCCATTGGGCAAAGTCCCTGGGCACTTGGACGTGGCTCAGGGCCTTCTGGACTCTTGCTGTCCATGGCTGGTCTCTGCTGGTGGAGCCCGGGTCAGGGCAGCCCCACTCTGCATGGGCTCTGGGACTTCATCCTGGGCACTAGCCTTCTTATTCTGCAGGGCTGGCTTGGTCAGCGCAGCCTTCAGGACAGCCCCTCTCCAGCCCTGTGTCCTGCTGGTCCACCTGCCCAACAGGAGGAGCACAGCTTTGCTGGGCCCAGTTGGAGGTCAAGAGCATGTTGAGTCAGACAGATATGATCTGAATCCTGCTGGCCTCCACTGGCTCATATCTGAGCTTCCATGTCCCCATCAAAAACATGGGGACAGGAGGCTCCACCTTGCCAGGCTGTTTTGAGGGTGACATGAAACACTGGAGGAAAAGCATGGGCCTCAAAGTGCTGACTGCATACAGGGCAAAGAACATAGCCCCAGGGGCAGGGGCTGAGAGCCCTGAGCACGGTCCCAACACCATTGTGCAGGGAGAAGCAGCTGGTCCAACAACGAACTCTGCAGCATATATGCTGGGTGGTGCCCGGGCTCCTTGCAGGCAGCACCCAGTACATCCCAACTCCACATCCCCAGCCTGGCCCACCACAGGGACAGGCAGGGGGCTAGACAGCACAGGGTGCTGCTCGGAGCTCCCATTCTGGTCCTGCATTGACCTGACAGTAACCTGTATTCCTCAGCTGTGTGTGGCCTCATGCTACCCAACCTCTCTCATCTGTTAGTGCCCACCTGAGAAGGCTACCCCTGGGCTACGTGACCCACCCAGAGCCTGGCACTCAGCACAGCCACTGCTCCACAAACCTCAGCTTATTTGTGTCCTCGGCTGTGAGTGGTGAGGCAAGGAGCATGGGACATAGGGTATGGACAGGACCCTGGGGCTCCCTGATGCCTGAGCACAAGCAGGGGCACCATGTGCATGGGGCTTAGACGTCATCCCCCACTGGCTACTTCCACACCTTGACAACCCCAGACCCTGCCAGGGGTATGGAACAAGGTCTCTGGGGCCCCCACCCAAACCGCCTGCCTAGAATTCTGGATGCGATTTTCAAAGGCTCAGGAAGGAAGATGAGAGACTTGCTCCTGTCACAGGACCCAGGCATTGAACCTGCTTTTCTTTTTGCCCCTGACACCCCTCCTGAAAAAAACAGTCCCAGAGGAACCACTGCTCACAGAGCTCGGCCTCCAGCCTTAACCAATGCTGCCCAAGCCCCGACCCGAACCTGAGGGTGCAGGAGCCCCAGCGCACATTGAGCTGCCTTGGGTCCCGCCCACAGGGTTGGTGGGCGATGGTGCCAGGCAAATACCGTGTTGATGACTGTGGAAGTGAAGCTGGGCTTCCTGGTGGTGGGCTCCAGCTGTCCCCGGTGACTTGAGACTAACAGGGGACAGGACACGAGGGGACTCCTGACTTTCCCCCAGGGCTGCCATCTTCCCCAAAGCCTGATGAAGGTGTGCACACCTGGGACCTGGGGAAGTGAAGACCACGGCAGGGTGAGAGGGTGAGAGGGATGTGGAGGGGTGGGGTACGGGGGTGGTGGTGGTGCAAAGGTAGCTGGCTGTGAGCCACAGGAAGCGGGTGGGAAGAACAAGAAACCCAGAGACACCCTGTGGGGCTGGGGTGGGAGACAATTCAGGTCCTGGGACGTTACTCCATGGGATCAGCACACCTGCAGAAACCCAACCAAAAAGCTCTGCCCCCAAAATGGCCAGGAATGGCCACCCAACCAACAGCCCCACCCACAGGACAATGCATGCTGATTCTCCCAGAAAAACCTCCTGCACCACAATGGGGGGCTGCTGGCCCTTGGGGAGGTTGAAGAACTGAATCTTGTCTCCTGGAGCATGAACATTCTAGATTAAATCTTAATGAGACATTCCCAATGAGGAAAACACTTTTCCTCAGACCCAGTAGAGCCCTGAGAGGTTGCAGGAGGTAACCTCCTGTCCCTGCCCATGGCACTAAGCCTTTTTTGGGGTCAAAGATACTTTAATTTGGTTTGCAAGCATAGCTTGTGCAATGTGAGGATTTTTTTTCACACTGTGATGAAGCAGGCTTCCTTACTTGGGGGTGAAGCAGGGGAACATGGGAAGGACAAGTCAATGCAGGCTCTGCAATGGTGGCAGACAGCACCTGCTCCGAGGAAGTGAGGAGGCAGGCCCAGGCGGCTCGCGCCAGTGCGCAGCCTTCTTGGTCAGCCACCGGCCGCCTCATCCCTAATGATGGGAAGGGTCACGGGCAGCCAGGTGAGTGGACAAAAGGTGGGGCTGCAGTCATGACATCTGGGTGCAGGTCTTCAACCCCCTAAGCTGAAGTAACTCGGTTCACTTCCTGGGATTTATCTGAGAAGCAGCATGCTCAGCCCCACCCCAGCTGAGTGGAGGTGGCGGTCACAAAGGACACCCACAGGGGGCACCAGCACAAACTCTGAGCGCAGGTTCCATGCCCACGCTGCTGCAACGGCTGAATGCGGAGCGAGCCACCCGCCCAGGAGCAAACCTTCCGCGGCCCCTCTCTTCCCAGCTTGGAGCCTGTGCCCCGTGGGAAAGGGCCCGACCTCCGGGCGCCTGGCGGCGGCGGTGGAGGCGCTTCCACTCGCTGCCCGCGGACCTCGGATCCGGGACTTCTCAGCCTCAGTTTACCATCTGCAAAGTGGCCATGACGGTTCCCGTCCCTCGGGTTCCGGGCGCGTGGGGAGGCGCCCCACAGACACTGCGACTGCCAGGGGCCAGGGCGCCCGCCACCT